AGGATCCTTGTGGAGCCAGGGATAACCTCTGTGGGCTGGCTGAAGTGATGGAAGCCTCACAGCTCATCACAAATGTATTTTGTACACTGGACTGGGAACCACACACAAGTGGTACATTCACCCTTTCCCAGTTTGAGAGTTGGCTGTATGGAAAATATGATTGGGGGAGAAGGAGGTACACTGTGAGCTATTGTAGACATGTGCTGGGGCCAAGGGGTACTTGCTGGAAGGAGACATGTGTTTGTGCTCTGCAGGCTCTCACCTTCTGGTGGCCTCCTGCATGGCCTTTGTGGTTCTCAAAGTGTGTAGCTGAATGTCTCAGGTCCCTTCCGGCTTTAAGACTGGGCCTCCCCAGTATTCTGCCTTCTGAATATCATGTGTTTATAAGGGCATAACACCTATGGAATTTTTGCCTACATTTACCAAGTGTCACCATTTTGCCACAGTTGCTCTCTGGTTATTATTTTTTTTTTTTAAACAAAAAGAGTTTACTGTTGCCTTTTGTATCAGTTATATGTTTGTTTTTCTTGTTTAATGCCTAAAAATGCTCCTAAAGGAATAATGACTACATATGGTTAAGGAACATATTTTTAATGTTATCACAAAAACATTTGTGGGTAGAACCCTAAAATATTTTTACTAGAATACAAATGATTCTAGAAAAATAAAAATTCTACGTTCTGAATACCATGTGTTTATAAGTGTTTAACTTTCTCCCATCAGGTGACCAAGCATATTTTCATAAGCTTACAAATGTGTTTCTTTGGTTTCTTAGAGAAATCACAACGATGGCAAACACACTGTGTGAAATTGCACAAGCAGTGGTGTCTGGAGCTGGGGTCTCATGAGAGTTGATCATGGATATCTCTGCTTGTTATGGACTGAAAGTTTATGTCTCCTCAAGTTCATATGTTGAATCCTGACCCCCTAATGTGATGGTATTAGGAGGTGGGACTTTGGGGAGGTCATTGGGTTGAGAGTAGAACCCTCATCGTGGGACTGGTGCCCCTACAAATGGACCCCAGAGAATGTGCCCACTTTCTACCAGGTGAGGACACAAGGACAAGTGAGCAGTTTGCAACCCAGAACAGAAACCTTGCCAGACCCCGACCAAACTGATACCCTGATCTGGGACTTCTAGTGCTGCAACCGCATGAAAGAATCAGGCAGGACATGGATGAGAGTACAAGCTACAAGAGGTGAGGCTCACCAAAGGTGCAGGAGAGTCCCAAACAACTTTTGCAGTGTTTTTTTATTGAGGGGTAAACAAAAGGTGGCAAGAGGGTACGTGCTTAAGGAAATAATCTCTAAAAAGACTACCTGCGTTCTCTCCACTACTCCTTCAAGGAACTGCCATAAAATGCTTAATGTTTAACATCAGCCATACTACCACAGGACTGATCTTTGCTCCTCTGGGATTACTGAGTTACTTGGTGGCTTGCCTCCAAGTCATAAGAGATCTCAAGGCTTGCCAGGAGAATGTTTTGCTCTCAGCAATTTCTCAGAGGAGTTCTGAGATTGGTGACTGCTACTGTAAGCATGAAGTTCAATCCTCTATGTGTTACTGTAAGCATGACATTCAGTTCTCTACATTCTAGCCTCCAGAACTGTGTGAAATAAATTTCCATTATTTATAAGCTATCCAAACTACAGTATTTTACAGCAGGCCAATCTGAGACACTTCCCACCTGTGCCCCCAGTGATGTTACATCTATAGACTGAAGTCAGCACAGTAGAAGTAACCAAAGGCTCTAGAGTTTTTTATTTTATTTTTTTCTGGAAAGCCAGTTATTCAACATTAACTAGACACTAATGCATTTATCTCTATTTATATTACTATATATATATATTTTTTTTTTTTTTTTGAGACAGAGTCTCATCATGTCACCCTTGGTAGAGTGCCGTAGTGTCACAGTTCACAGCAATCTCAAACTCTTGGGCTTAAGCGATTTTCTTGCCTCAGCCTCCCAAGTATCTAGGAGTCTGCCACAATAGCTGGCTATTTTTTGGTTGTAGTTGTCATTGTTGTTTGGTAGGCCTGGGCTGGGTTCAAACCCGCCAGCTCTAGTGTATGTAGCTGGCATCCTAGCCACTGAGGTATAGGCGCCGAGGTTAGATTACTATTTTTTAAAAATGAATTATTTGAAAAATAAGGTACAAACATCAAATTTCTTTTTTTTGGCCGGGGCTGGGTTTGAACCCACCACCTCCAGCATATGGGGCCAGTGCCCTACTCCTTTGAGCCACAGGCACCACCCAAACATCATATTTCTTTACCCCTTAAGTATATAGTCTCTTAAGATCATTCTCTTACATCAAAATCAGGATATTAACATTTATCCAATATTGCTATCTAATCCATGTACCTCTTTTAAAATGTCTCTTTTTTCTCCCCACAATATCTTTTATAGGTCCAGGATCCCACCCAGAGTCAACTATTGCATTTAGACCTGCCTCTTTGATCTCCTTTAATCTGGACCAGCTCCTTGGTCTGGCCTCTTCTTTCATGATCTTGACATTTTTGAAGAGTACTAGCCAGTTTGTCTGATGTTTCCTCATGATTTATGCATTTTAGGGGCAGGAATACCTCAAAAGTGATGCCGTTTTCCCATGTAATTCTTTATTCATACATGTGTATTAGTGGGGACACACAAACAATCATGGATTCCTATTTACTTAACGGGGTTATATATCCTATACTGACACTAAGTACTTTGATGTTCAAATTTGGCCAGCACAGTCAGCTTTCCTGGCCAATTGAAGTCCCTATCATCTTTTTTCTTTATTATTATTATTATTATTTAGGCTCTGTCTCTCTGGCTAAAGGGTAGTGAAATCATCATAATTCACAGCAATCTCAAAATTCCTAGGCTCAAGAGATCCTCTTGCCTCAGCCTTCTGAGTAGCTGGGACTACAGATGCTCCCACCACAATACCTGGCTAATTTTTTCTATTTTTAGTAGAGATAGGGTCTCACTCTTGCCCAGGCTGGTCTCAAATGCCTGAGCTCAAGCAATTCTCCTGCCTCGTCCTCCCAGAAGTCCTGGGATTATAGGTGTTAGCCACCACGCCTAGCCTCATTATAGCTTCTTTGAAATGGGCAATTTTGTAGACAGAGCATTTTTTTAAACATCTCCCCCTCCCTTGTCAAAAACAATACATGCACTATGTAGAACGCTTAAAAAATACAGAGAAGAAATTTTAAAAATTAACGATCACCAACCATTTTGCCATTAGTAGATGATCACGACTTTTTGGTATATCCTTTTTTTTCTCCTCAATTCTCTAACTTGAAAAGTTTCAAAACTACAGCAAAGCTGCACTAATAGAACAATGAACACCTATAGACTTTTTGCCTACATTTACCAAGTGTCATCATTTTGCCACAATCACTCTTTCTATGTATTCATATATGTGTGTATATATGAACACCCATGTATTTCTCTACTTAGAAAGCCAGCTTCAGACTCTGTGTGGTAATTTACCTTTAAAAATTTCAGCACCTTTTGCTTAGAACAAGAATATTCTCCTACATAACCACAGTACAAATGTCTCACTTAGAAAATTAACATTCACATAATAATAGATAGCCCCTATTTCATTTTCCTCAATTGTCCAATGAATAATTTCCTTTATCTTATCATTGGTGATATTAAATTTAATGACTTGCTTAATCTGGCAGATTTCTCTATTGCAAAGTTGACCTTTCCCTTTCAATTTATAAGTATTATATGAGGTTATCACTTAGAAACTGTGGAAACACCCTTTTCTCCAAGAGGCTTTCATCATTAGCATCCACTGATGATTTTTGTATATTCCAGTGATTTTCAACTGGTGTGCCACAGCACACTGCTGTGCTGTGAGAGGATCACTGGTGTGCCTTGAAATTCTGGAGAGTACTAATCAAATAATTTTCAAAAGAAGTTCAAAGCACAGTAAGTATATTCTTTTTTTACTCTTTTTTTTTTTGATCAACATAATTTAAGTGTGCTGTAGTAGTTAAACTATAGGTTCAAGTGTGCTGTGAGATAAAAAATAGTTGAAAAGGGCGGTGCCTGTGGCTCAAAGGAGTAGAGTGCTGGCCCCATATGCCAGAGGTGGCAAGCTCAAACTCGGCCCGGCCAAAAACTGCAAAAAAAAAAAAAAAAAAAAAAAGGTTGAAAAACAGTGGTCTAAATCAAATATTGCCATGGTGATGTAAGCTGGCTTTTCTTTGTCTATCCTTCTTTAATTTGATTTCGTTCCAAACGAAAAACTTTTTGTTTCTCCTTTAAAAAAAAATTAAGTATCAGCACGGACTCACAGATTTTGTATTCGTTCAGTGTGTTATAGTCAATTTTTGTCATTATGCATTTTGTGTTCAAAGTGTGGCCTAAGTGGTCAGTGAAACCCCTTCCCCATAGCTCCTATGTCCTTTTGCCAGGTCCGCATCATTTTTTGAGGACGTTGTTTACTTCACAGCACAAGATGTTCAAGGCTCATTTTGAAAGTTCTTCTCTCCAGGCTTGGAATTAGATGTTCCTCTAACTTCATTTGTGCAGGAAATGGTATTCTATTTAAAACTAAGATATGAGCCGAGGATGAGTTTGCTGCTTATAAGGCGGCCTTGCTTCTAGAGCCTTTTAGAGCTAGCAAACATATATATATATGCAACTATACAAATTAGCTGATCTTTCTGATCTACTCCCCTCTTTCTCCTAAGCCAGCTTCTTTCCCATGGCCCGCTGCGGGCACCCTGGCTCCTGGCGACATAAATGTATTTTTATTAATTTTCTCAATCCTTCAATACACACAAGTGAGCTTTGCAGTCACCCCTTTTCCTTAAAGGAAAGCATACATATACACATTTACATAGGCAAAGGTCCCTCTCGGTGTCCCCAGGCTGCTGACGTTTTGGTTGGTGGGCTTGCTCTTAGTGGAGGTGGCAGGAGCGCAAAGTGCAAGGCCGGGCCTGGGCTTCCCCGGAGCTGCCCAGGGCCGGTTCGAGGCAGCGAGAGGCCTCACCACAGGCCCAGGGCCTGGTCTGCGGGGTCATAGGGCTGTAACCACGTGTCATTGTCTTCCTCTTCCGGGATGTGCGTCCCTCTAGCTGGCAACTGGCAGATGGTCAGGGGATCCGAGTGTTCACGGCCGTCGTAGGCCCTGGGTCTGAAGTAGGCGCAGAGCATTCCTGGGAAGGCGTCGGTGAAGGTGAAGATGTGGGAGTTATCGGACACGTTGAAGAAGGACAGCTTTCCCGCGTCGCAGTCCAGGAGGACGCCCACGCGCCGCGGGGGCACGCGCAGGGTGAGCGCCACGCGGTGCGGGTCCAGTACGAAGTACTCACAACCGTTCCACAGTCCCATCACCCAGTAGCCGCAGGCCGGGCTCAGGCGCGCCGGCCCCGCGCGCGGCACGGCGGCCAGGCAGGCGCCCAGGAACCAGCGGCTGCGGCGGCCCACGTGCACCTCCCAGTAGTGGCGGCCAGCCGAGAAGCGCTGGATGCTCAGCACGCACGTCTGCTCCGAGAAGCGTTGAGGGTCGCTGGGCGCGGGCCCCTGAGCCACCCTGCGGGAGGACACGCTCTTGCCATCCTCGGAGACCTCCAGGCTGGGGTGCGCTGAGGCCGGATCTAGAGTCACGTCCACTACGCAGAGGCACAGGGTTAGCGCCAGCCCAGAAAGATTCTGGGCCCTGTCTGTCCCTTAACCCCACAGAAGCAAGCCTCTAGCTCGTCTTGGTGGACCGCCAGGCAAAATCATCATAGCCACTCTCACCCCAGCTACCCTCCTCCCCAGGACTGGAGTTGACAGGCAAATCGCTCCTGAGCATTTGATAGTGACAGGAGCACAAACTACCTGTTACTACCTGTCACTATCAAATGCTCAGGAGTCCCACAGAGACTCCAGAAATAACACATGAGGTAGGCTCAGTGACGGAGCTAAGTCCCAGTCAGGGAAAAGACCTACTGGCCAGGTCTCTTTCCTGCTGACCCCACCACCCTGTTGTGACCTAGATCACCAGGCAAGCTCCAGGCAGCATTTGACAGTAATTTTAGGATTTTAAAAGGGCCTTTGAGATGACCTAGTCCAGTGCCCTATCCTCCACCCCATCCCCCAAAACACACCCGTTTGACAGATGGGAAACCAGAGAACCCTTTCTGTCAGAGGTCTGAGAAGTTCCTTCTAGTCGGTTCTGTAAGGCAGACAGACTGAGGCAGCAGCCTTCCTGCCAGCTGGAAACAAACCTAGTGAAACACGGAAAGCTGTGTAGTCCGGGAGTGTGTGTGTGTGTGTGTGTGTTCGTGTGTGTAGGCCCTGGACTTCACTCCTGGAAAGACCCTTCTTCTCATATCACTTCTCTCCACCTCTTTTCTGTTTAAGATTCAGCCAGTGCAAGCCACAAATCAGTTTCTTGGCTTCATTACCTGCGTACTTTTGGGCTGCTCTCCATTCTGAAACCAAACAGAGAGAGAAAGGAGGATCAGAGATCTGAGTCAGTAACTCTGGGACCTTGAGAGAGATTCACTGTGTATAAGGGATGCCCATAAATCAAATAACCCCATTCCTACTGTGACGGCTGGTCTGGGTCCACCATAGTATTTTCCTGACAATTTGGGATTGAGTAGAGGGCTGGTGTCAGTGCTAGGTTGTACTAGAGCCATGTGCTGCTGATTTTGCACTGGGAAAAGCAAGAGAAGGGAGCACAGGGGTAGAGAGAAGAGATATCAGCATCCTAAATGCTTTGAGGGGTGGAATAGAAGCCTCAGCCTCTTACTGGCCAGGTTCAGTCCCCATGTAGCCCAGCTGAGCATGGCTTTTGTCCCAAGATGCCCTCCTGTCTTCTTTCAACAAACCTCCTTTTTTAATGTGAACATTCTGAGTGGATTTCTGTTTTGTTTTCTTTTGTTCTATATTACAACAAAGAGGTAACCAAGAAAAAAAAAATTAGCAAAAGCAAGGTAAGATATTCACAAAGCTCTGTAGGTTTATAGCAGGGATTTTCCATCCTGGTTTTGTATCAGGATAACCAGTGGAGCTTTAAAACCATTTACCTCTTGTGTAGAATAACTTAATTCTATTAAGCTAAAGATTCTCCTCAAATTTACAAGTTCAAAGCCATCCCATGCAAAACTTCTGGATTTTTAAAGGAGCTTCATAAATTTATCCTAAAATTTATATTTTAAAAAAGTCTATTAACTTTATAAAAGAAATGGAAATTGTGAAGGAGAACTTATACTTTTAGATTTTATAAAAGCCACAGTAGTAAAAATGAGGCAATAGGTGGCCATGGACAGATCCATGTAGGCATGAGATGGAATATGCACGAAGGTGGCTCCCATATCAATGGGGGGCCAGGGGTGGTACAATAAATGGCATTGGAAAGATCAACTCACTATATGAAAAAAATCACTGGATTCTCACCCACATCACATAAAATGGCAAATTCTAGACGAATCAAAGACCTATACAAAATGTATATAAAGTTAATAAAGTATGAGAGAATATGTTTGTGACCTAAGTATGAGGAAGGCCTTCTTCAACAAACCTTCAAATACATAAACCATAAGATAAAAATTTGATGAGGAAACCATGGCCAAAGCTGATAGCAGATGACAGACCAGGTGGATTCATATCATATATATGGATTCCTGTCATAAGAAAAGACAGCAATCCCATATGAAAAATGGGCAAAAGATATAAACTGGCAATCTTCAAAAGAGGCAGTCTCCAAAGCCAACTAGCATATAAAGAGATGCTCAAACTTCTGAGCATTCAGAGGCATGCACACCAAAACCAATGAGCCATCAGTATCTCTATTGACAAAACTTAGAAAGCTGATGCATGTGGAGTCTCCATGCAGGGGTGGACGGCAGGGTGATGTTGCTGCCTCCAGGGATCCCTCTAACCCATTTAGTAGATGTACTTCCCACAGGCTAGCAATCCCTTTCCTGTGTTTATGACTCAGAGAAATCTCCATACAGGGCAATATAGTGACACATTTTAGGCTATTCACTCAGCGTTGTTCATGGTGATGTGGAATTAGAGACACTCTGGATACCTATGGACATTCTGCAGTGAGCAGGAGCAGACCAAACACACACAGGCAGCAAGGGATAGTTATTAAAACATAGTAGTGCAGGAGAAAAGCAAGGAGCAGCATAGAACTATGAATGCCATTTACATGAACTAAAATACAGGCACACAAAAAAGATATTCACATATTGCAATAATACATACAAAATATACACATTAGAGCATCTGCTTTATGGGGGGTGTGGAGGGAGGACTGGGGAGAAATATTTACATTTATAGTAACATGCCCAGCCACACCCACTGTCAGAGTCTTTTAGGGAGGGCACCAGGAGTCTAGGTGACTCTGATGTGCAAGCAGGATTGAAACCAGTGGTTTGCAAGATGCTTAGGCCTCAGGACAATATAGAAGTAAAACTTGGGTATAACCTCTGCTGAGTGGCACAGATTAGTACATGCTGTGGGAGGCTATGCAGTGAAATAGAACTGTGGCTGGCTAATGCGAATGAGTTGCACTTGGGGTGCTGAGGTGTGGAGGGAGCAGAGGGGAAGAGCAAGCTTCACTCACCAGCCTGGCCTTCTGCCCTTCTCCATTCTGAAGCAGCCAAGGGAAAACCAGAAATTAGGATGTCAGAGCCCTGAGCTTCCTTGCTCACTCATCACAACTTGCATCCAGCCCTGTTCCCTCCCCTCTCTGGCCACTCCCAGCCTAGGCATCATACCCTGTTGGGAGATGAGAAGATGGATACCAGAGGCAAAAAGGTAGGGGTCACTTACCCAGCTCCCTCTGAAGCTTCTCTGTAAGCAGAGCACACAGAGAAAACATTTTCAGTTAAGAAGGGACCACCTTCCCCAGGCAGTTAGGCCACTGGGAAGAGGTCCCTTAGTCTTAACCCACGATTAACCCTAACTTTATCCTTGCCTCTTCATGGCCCTAGAAAAGGAGGCCCCTCTGCAGAATTCTTGTGCCTCATCCTATGTTTGCTCAAAGGTAGAAATATGCACAGAGTCTGGAAAGGGAAACACGTCTTAATACTGAGGTGCCTCTTCCCTGGGTTCACATGGTTCTTGCACTCTGAAATGGCAAGCTCTTCCTGAGGAGCTCAGGGTAAGCCTAGCACTGAGCACAGCCTGTGTGAGACTCAGGGTCACTTACTGGGTATAATTACTTAAAGGACTGGAGGGACATCACACCCAATTACTTCCTCTGACCAGATACCAGGGACTCTTACATTTTACCACTAAGAATGAAATGTCACACTTTAGTAAATGCTCCCAGGAAAAGCAACATTAGGCACTAATTTAGACTATTGCGTTGATGACTTAGGGCTGGTTTGGTTTTTCTTTTATTCCCCCTGAAGGACAAGACAGATTGTGAGACAAATTTCCCCAGCCTCACAGTTTTGCCTGGATTGCCCCATCCTCTATACCATTGTGGCCTTTCCCTCCATCTTCCTTTGGGTTCTCTTTCCTATTCTTCGTGCAGACACAACCCCCTTCCTCCCAATTTCAAGTTGCTGAGTCTTGGGGAGAAAAGTGAATTCAAAAAAATTACTCTCACTTTGCTGCAAATTACAGGGGTCACCCTTCCTAGTGGCTTTTATAAATAAAAGAGGATATCCTACGTAGATGACCCAAGGGGAGAAAATGTGTAATTGTGTAATTTTAACCAATTTGTCTAATTTGCAGGGGAAGGGCTGGCAGGGTCTGTCCAGAGGGCTTCAGAAGCAGAGGTGGGAGAATCCCAGGACTGAATTTAGAATTAGGTTGTCCTCCCGCCAAGTGCGCCAAGTGCGCCAGGACCCCACTGACCTTCAGGCAGCACTGAACTTACCCAACTCTGCTGTGAGTTTCCCTTCAGGGAAAAACAAGACAAAACAAACAAACAAGAACAAGAAAAACACAAAAGATATCTCTCAGTTTGGGGAGATGGATTAATGAAGGCCTCATTTCCCTGAAATACTCAGATTCCAGGGGGCCAGGCTGCGCTGGACTAGGGGTTTCTAGGCTGGGGGAGGAGGAACGCACACCTCCAGCACACGCAGGCCTTAGTTGCCCTCCACGCCCTGGGACTGAGCTCCCTGCCTGGGTGACCCAGCCCCCTCCCTTCTGCCATTCAGGGAGGTGGGGGCAGAACCCCCTCTTCCTCTCCTTACCTTGTTTCTTCTCGGCCTGCTGGTTTAGCTTTTCTGAAAGGAAGAAGGAAGGGGAGAAGCTGGAGTCCTAGCCACCCTGCCGGTTACCAGGTCCCATCCCCGTCCCGGCACCAGAGCAGGGCCTTCCTGGGACCCAGGTTTCCAGCCCCAGACCGGTGCCCCCCGCAGCTCCCCGCAAAGCTGGCCTTGGGCTACCTCCCCACGTCCTGGACCTGCTCCTACCTTGGGATCGCCGCCGTCTCTGCAGGAGGCACAGCGCCAGCGTGCCAGGCACGGCCAGGGCTAGCGGCAGCGCTGCCAGAGTCCCAAGGAACGCTCTCCTCCAGGGCGACGCTCCGGGTAAAAACACGTCTGGAAAACACCCCACAGGGAGCTGTCGCTATTCAGGCCCCACTAAACACTCAGAGAGAACGTTATCCCGGGCCCCGCGCGCTGGAGGACGTTCAGAGAGACCACTGGTCGCCGTTTGGCCTTCGGGGCCCACCTGCGCCGGCTCCGCGGGAGCCGGGGAGGCAGCGGGCTCGGACTCGCCTGGTGGAAGAGGAAAGTGCCCCGGGCCGAAAGGGGAGTGGGCAGTTGGTGTCACCCCACTCCCTCCCTTCCCAAGGACGAGAGGATCTGTGAGGCTGTGTCTATGCCAGGAACCGGCGCAGAAGCGCAGAATCGGTGATCGTGGCCTTGCTTCCTTGCAGACATTTGGCTTATGCAGAACTCTGTTCTCAGGACTTTTTTGGAAGAATTGTTAACAAAGCCACGTACGTGCTGACCTACCGCTCCCCTTCCCCTCCAAGGCTAGCGACTGGACATGGCCAGAGGTGAAGAAAGAGGTGCAAAGATGCGGATAAACTTTCTAGAAACTCTTGTGGCAATTTAATAATAATAATTTTGTGTCTGCTAAACCTAATTAATAAATGACTCTTTCATCTCAAAGATCTTTTAAATTTTTTTCTTTTTTTTTATTGTAGTAAAATATACATAGCATAAACTTACCACCGTTAAGTGTGGTAAGTTTATGTATGCCACTTAAAGTGATCCCCTGTACACCATTTTCAAGTGTGCAGTTCATGGTATTGAGCCCATTCACCAATGTCCGCCTCCGGAAATTTTTTCGTCTTTCCAAACCGAAACTCTGTCCCCATTATACAATAATTCCCCAATCCCTCCTGCCGTCACCCTGGCAACCACTCTTCCTCTCTACGAATTTGACTACTTTAGGTACCTCGCATTAGTAGAATCATACAGAATTTGTCCCTTTGTATCTAGTTTATAATTGAAATCAGTGGTCTTTTGGTTTTAATTTTTATTGCATTGTTAATTTTATTGTTTTTATTGCATTTTGGTGCAGTGTTACTGTATCCTACTGGATCACAATGGGATTGGTCTTTTACCACCCACTGTTTGCGAAACAGACTCAGGTTTGAGAGCAAGGGCTTCAGGGCCTGATGTCACACTGACCTGCCATCCTCATCCTTGCATCTCTGGTCTCCTTGCTGCTCTCCTAGCAGCCAGACATGTTCCCCTCTCTGGGAACACTCTCCCTGAAGGTATCCATGGGATTTGTGCCCTCTGAAAAGTTGTCTATGCATACTAATACATACACATCTAAAATTTTATATAGTATAAATTTCTTTTATATGAATTTAATGCTAAATTACTGGATTTAATACTAATTCAATACTAAATTTATATAAAATATTAATGTTAATATATTGAATTAATATATTAATATAAATTGAATTTTTTTTTTGAGACAGAGTCTCATTGTGTAGCCCTCAGTAGAGTGCTGTGGCATCACAGCTCACAGCAACCTCCAACTCTTGGGCTTAAGCAATTCTCTTGCCTCAGCTTCCCAAGTAACTGGGACTATAGGTGCCTGCCGGGCTATTTTTTTTTGCAGTTGTCATTGTTGTTTAGCAGGCCCAGGATGGGTTCAAACTCACCACCCTCAGTGTATGTGGCTGGTACTGTAACCATTGTGCTACAGGTGCTGAGCCATAAATTGAAATTTATATAAAGAACTAGAAAGAAAATATTGGATTTTCCTTTGTGCAAAAGGAGAAAAAGACTCTCTTTTCTCCCCTTTTCTCAGTTCACCTTCTTCTTCTTCTTCTTTTTTTTTTTTGAGATAGAGCCTCAAGCTGTCCCCCTGGGTAGAGTGCTGTGGCATCACAGCTCACAGCAACCTCCAACTCCTGGGCTCAAGCGAGTCTCCTGCCTCAGCCTCCCAAATAGCTGGGACCAGAGGCGCCCGCCACAGCACCTAACTATTTTTTTTTTTTTTTGGTTGCAGCCATCATTGTTGTTTTGGCAGGCCCAGGCTGGATTCAAACCCACCACCTTAGATGTATGTGGCTGGCGCCTTAGCCACTTGAGCCACAGGTGCCGAGCCTCAGTTCACCTTCTTTAGAAAACTTGTAAATTCTTTCTCTGTGTGTGCCAGCTTTATAATCCAAGAATGTTCTTCTTAAGGGCCATTTCTCTGAAATGTAAACATCAGAAAGAAAACACCACATGGAAATCCAAGTCTTAGTGGAGTTTAGGTCAGATGCCTGGTTCCAAGTTGTAACTACATGCTTGTCACAGAGTTATTACACAAATTGTATTCTATTTGGATAAAGACAGTTTCCTAATACAGATGGCCACCCCAATTACCAGGGTTATTTAGAATAAATTGTGTGCCACTGAGTCTTCCTATTTGGAGACAAGTTATCATTTATCTTGAGAACATGTACCCAGTGGGTTTTATCTGCCTGACTGTATCAAACATTTCTTTCTGTTATAATTATGTAAATATTGATATGGACCAATGTGAGAAATGGTCCTTCAGTTGGGTTGTCCTTAAAACTTAAAACAATTAGAGCTATGAAAACTAAACCCTTCAGTGGGTGCCTCACAGTAAGACTTTGATGATATGTAATGACCTCACCGTCAATTCATTGCCTAAACATCTGTCTCTGACCCATCTGTATTCCCCACTGGAATAAGAACTGAGGGCAAGGAGATGGGGCACAAGTGGGTGCTAAATAGATATTGTTTGAGGAAGGGAATCAGGAGTGAGTAACGGGGCTCTCATGATGACCTCTAAAGAGTAGAGGTTTTCAGTTTTAGCGCATGGCCTATGGAACAGAATGTTGTTCCTCTGAGGCCCCCCTGCTTACTGTTTGGGTTGTTGGTTTTATTCTTAACAGGTTCCTAATATCCAAGGTGCTGCCTTTTCAGCTGTCGAGGCCAGCCCACCCCACAGGCAGCTAGGCCCAGTGCCACAGTGTCTTTATGGACTGTCATTGAGCTAGTGAATGTGGAGAAAGTGATGTCTGGCACCCACTGACCTGCAATCTGGACCACAACCTCTTTCTTCTGGCTCAAGAGGAGATTCTGGACTGAGAAGGACACATTTCTGTGGGCTCCCCCTTGGACAATCACAGATGTTTCCAGACTGAACAGGCCCTGGGCGTCCTGAGTGATGACTTCAGTCTCTGGAGGCAGGCACTGTCCCTGATGGTCTCTCCACTGAGCCTTGGGCTTGGGGTACCAGCCACTGGAGCTGTACTTCAGGTGAATGCCTCCTTCCTTGAAGCCATCAAGTGAGAGGTGAGGGTCTGAGCCCAGCCCTGGGAGAGGCAGGAGGAACGGGAATGATTAGGCTTCTTTGAAATTATGCATGAAGTTCATGTCACTGTTCACCATTTGTAATACCATAAAGCATCACAAACTTTGGCTGTTCTTAACACATGTGTGGGCCGGAGCCTCCCATCTACGGGTTATAAATGATAACTCTAAATCAGTGGTGTCATGTGGGAACAGTACTACCCTGAAGGACATTTGGAAAATTGAGGGGGTCATTTGGTGGGGAAAGGCTACTAGCATAATCAACTTTTCATATGTTTAAGTGTCATTTGTGTGTTTTCTTGTGAACTACTGTTCATTTGCTAATGGACCTATGCCCTCCAGCTTTTAATCGTTTTTTAAAAAAATTAAATATTTTCCCTCCCCGAGTTTCTCAGCAAAGCAGCTGTGTCGCCTTCTCCCTGGCTGGGCTTTGCCTGGCCGCACACCTGCCACCTCCAGCTCCCAGGCAGCTTCCCCAGAGAAGTTGCCGGACAGGAAGCTGCACCCGTAGGGGCCCTGGTCCGCGGGGACCACGTGGTGCAGCCGCAGGAGCACGCTGCCATCGGTGATGTAGTCGGTGACCAGTTCGGTCCTGTTCTGGAATTGCGCCATCTGCCAGCCGGGCAGCTCCTGCCGCCCGCGATACAGGTGCACCACGTCCGCCGCCTGGCCCCGGAACCAGCGAATCTCCATGTGCTCAGCATTCAGATATGGCGACAGGTGGCATGGGAAGTCCACCTCCTCCCCGACGAGGGCCAGGATGTGTTCCTCAGGGCCTACCACCTTGACCTCTTCTAGGATGAGAAGTTAGAACAACCAGAAGCAACCCTCAGCAAATAATTTTTTTCTCTCCCATCTCTTTGAAGCTTAGGAATCTCCAGTAAACAATTCAAACCAGGAAGGCCAGACACAAAGGACAACCATCCAGGTTTCTTGAACAAGCAATTGCCATGGCAAAAAGTGAGTGTGCATGATTAAAATGGAGGCGCCTTCCTATGTTCACACTATTTGAGCCTCCCCCCCAACACTGGGCGAATATCCAATAACCTTCCTCCACGTTTCCCACTCGGGCTGTCTCTGCACACATTCTGATGTCTGGCTATTTCCTTGGGTACACTTTGCCTCAGTTTACCCTTCATCTGTTATTTTCCTGGAAAAAGTGTATCCTTCAAGGCTCTGCTTAAACAGCACCTTCTCTCTGTGGTTTTTGTTGGCTTTCCAGGACAAAGACGTTGCTCTTAGCTGTGCTCTCTAAGTCACTGGGCACAGTTCTCTTGTAGCTCTGGTCACAAAACTGGGCAGCTATTTATGTCATATCTGTCCCCCTCTCTTGACTATGAAATGCTTGGGGACCTAGGCTATGGCTCAGTCATCAGGGTATCCCTTTTTCCAGCCCATCTTTGCATTACAGCTTACATTCTCTAATGGCTGCTTCTTTCATGAGAGATGGTAAGAGTGAGGTCTTTCCTACTCTTTAAAACCTATTCTGGGATTGGAGTTAAAATTATGTACCAACTAGTTCAGCACAAACACAGACCAGTGATTCTTTCACACCCCCGCGCTATGCCTGACACTGTCCTGTGGGCCTGTGGTCTGGGGGTGTGTGTAGAAGGTGCTGGGGGGTGGGTGGAGAAGCACTGCAGGGCTGCCTGATGCTCATGCAGGGGCTCTTTAACAATGGGGCAGAAAGCTTCTTCAGCACTTATTTTAGCATTTGGCACAGCTGGGTACTACAATCTCAGCCCAGGGGAACAGCTGGCAGGAGGGATGGGCAGGAGGGAGGCACTCGCATCCTGGCTCTTTGGGCTGCAGATCTGGCACACTACCTGAGTGTAGCTCCCCAGGATGGAGGAGGAGGAAGAGGAGGCGTGTGAGGAAGATGAGACTGCTGGGCAGAGACACTGGCTGCAAGGAGTCCAGGGAGACTGGGAAATCCGCCATCTCTTGTCAGCAAGGGGGCCACCTGGACCTCTAGAGACCAAGGCATGCTGGAGTGAGGCAGGGAGCTGGAATTCAGTCCACCAGACCTGGGGTCTGTTGCTGCTTCAATTGTTTTTTGTCTGACTTTTGAATTCCTTACTAGCTTCAGTGCCTGCTCCTTTGAAACCATGGCCGGATATGAGAGCTGCTTCTAATTTTACCGAGCAACACTAGTAATGGCCTTACTGGCCTTGTATGGAGTTGTGAGGGGACAGGGATAAAGGGTCCCAGAGGAAGCAGCTTCTGAGCTGCTATTGTTTACAGCCAGGAATAGAGCCGTACAACGTGTGAGGGCTCAGTGCCCTCCTCTGCTGGATTTAGCAACTTTCCCTAAACAAAGGCAAATCTCTGAAAGATCTCAGATGCATTTTCATTCTCCCAGCCTCAGTGCTGCCTACCCAACCTTGATCCCACTTCCCTTTGGCCTGGAACATCAGGTTCACAAAACAGAGGAATAAACACAGAGTTCTCTGCTTCAGAAGTGAAATGCATACTACGTGGTTGCCTGCCAACTGTCACATCTGGGACACTTTCCTCCAGGTCTGAGACCTCAGGTGGTGTCTCTGAGAGGTCAGCTGATAAGTGTCTCTGTGTCTATAGCATCTTTGAGGCCACAGTGGTGGAGTCATTCCATCTGGCCACTCTCTTCCCTACCTCTGGTTCAGAAGACCCAGCTCCAGCTCAGATGAGGGCCGTTCTTGCTCATCTCTGATGCACCCTTGAGGTAACTCACAGCCACAAAGTAGGGTGTGACCATTGAATCTCTGGGGACATACAAACCTCTACAAATTTGTTTACCATTTAGTCTTGGGATTTAATAACTAGCTGAGCCTCAGTCTCTTTGCTCACATTAGAGGAAACCAGAGTTGACTTTCTAAGCTTCCCAAGGTACTCTCTCTCCACCTTTCAAATATCCATTCCCAGACTTGTCCCTGAGACTGCACCCCTCACCTTTCACTCCATCACAATGTCCCCAGAGGGGGAGCCATGATGGCTTCTCTCTCCAGCACCCTCCATCTCCCCTCTTGCCCCACTGGGCTTTTCCTTCTGCAGACCTTGGCATGGCACATGTTCCTTGTGTCCTGTGGCTGCAGAGCCCTGGCCACACTGCCAACAGTACCACTGACAGGGTGTGGATGAAGGATCTTTTTTCTTTCTTTTTGCAGTTTTGGCCAGGACTGGGTTTGAACCCTCCACTTCCAGCATATGGGCCAGCGCCCTACTCCTTTGAGCCACAGGCACCACCCTTTTTTCTTTTATAGAGCCAGGGTCTCACTGTTGTTCAGGCTGGTCTCAAATTCCTGAGCTCAAGTGATCCTCCCACCTTGGCCTCCCAGAGTGCTAGGATTACAGGTGTGAGCCACCTGACCCAGCTCAAAGGATTTAAAAAGCTGCAGGTGCTGTGGCAGCAGGGGCAGTGTCAGGGGATGTATGTGGTAAATTAAGGAGCAAGGGAGGCTCTGCAGTGACCCCTCAAATTGAGAGTCCCCTGCTGACAGGGGTATGGTAGGGGGGTGGTGGCCTAGGAGGTATGTAGCCAGGTGCTAGTGGCCCTGTCCTTGTGGAGCTTTCCCTGAGGGATGGCCCGTGAGCAGGCTGGGGCAGCCCCGTGTGTGTTTGAGGCAGGACCACAGAGTGGGGGATTTGGGTCTCCCTGGAGAGGGCCTGGCCATGTTGCTGGCTGGCATTTACTGGAGTCTTTATTCACACAATTCTCAGCAGGGGCTTCAGGGAAGGGGCAAGGCTCTTACTGGACTATCTGGCCTCACCCTTAGAGATGAGAGCATGTCCATGACAGCCTGGGAGGTGGCATGGAGAGTTCTGGGCACACACAGGCTGTGTGCTTTCTCAGACTCCCCACCCCATGCCTCTGCTCTTCTCTTTCATGCCTTAGTCTTTTCCTGTGAATCCAGACCCCAGTTAGAGCCCTGTGATAGCATAGCTGGGAGGTGCATAGCAGCGTTCAGCTAATGCCTTCCAGAACAACGGGGACTCAGACTGTATTTGTGTAATGATGTGGATGTGTCAGATTCTGAGGCATTATTCAAGATAGTGTCATGTGGTAAGAGGGGTTCTCTCATGACAGGTTGTAAGGCAGATGCCAGCGTGGGCGGCATAGCCTCTCAGGAGGAGCACTGGCTTCTATTTACCTGGGCAGGGGAGGCTACCAGGAGGCAGGAGGCAGACCGGTGTGTTCCGGCGCTGTGGGGGAGGTCGTGAACACACACATGTGTGTGCCTACAGTAACAAAGACTAACATGAATTGAGCACTTCCTGTCTGCCAAGTGCTCACCTCCATCAGAAGTAACTAATGTTTACTATTATTATTGTGACTAATAGATCTAAATAATAGATGAGGAAACCAAGGCACAGGAGCTGAGACATCACCCCTGAACACACAGCTGGCAGGAGGCCTAGGTGGGGGCTCTGCCTACCCCATCTGCTTCTGAGCCTGCTCTGTACTTGCCAGGTCGAGAGTCCTCACCCGCTGTTCTGTGTGTCACGTCTGGGTACACCCTTCAGTCACTCAGGCTACTCCAAACTAGGCCTGAATCAGGATCCACCTGGCTGCAGACCACACACTCACTGGCCATCACACAGAGGCACTGAGGAAGCACTTGGTCACAGGATGCCAGCCACAAAACCAACCAGCCACCCAATAAATGAGCAGAGAATTAAAATCCCACTGCCAGGGCAGTGCCTATGGCTCAAAGGAGTGGGGCGCCAGCCCCACATGCTGGAGGTGGTGGGTTCAAACCCAGCCCCAGCCAAAAAATAAAACAAACTGTAAAATCCCACTGCCAGACAAACCAACATAAAGCTGGAACCCCCTAAGACTTTGTCAAAAACATGTTCTCAGCCAGGAGGCACATGTGTTTGGTCCCTCTTCTCACAGTACTCAAGGACATAACCTTGAAAGTCCTTAGAGAAACAAGTCCAGCCACCTCCTGCAGGGAATGCAGCTCCTCCTCCTCTTGGTGCCTGGAGTCTGCCCTTTCCCACCTCATTCTCTAGCTGAAAGGCTCTGACCCTTACTGAAGAGCAAGTGCCCCTAATACTTTCCAATTTCAGCTCTTCCCACCACAGTCTAAATGGGTTTCAAATTCTGCTGCTGGTGAGAAGGTTTTGCGAGGGGAAGGAATAAGAGACTGGATGCATTGGATATTTGGGGAAGACAGAGTGCCCAGGGAATGGGAAGGATGGCCCAAACAGGGCTTCAGGCTGAGCCCTCCAGGTGGCTACATACTCCCTACCTTCTGGGGAGCCTGGCACCTTCCCTCCTGAAGACACAGTTGTACTACTGATGCTGAGAAGTGCCACCACTGTCACCCAGGGGAAGCCTGGGACTCCCCTCTCCCCTACTCTTTCTGCTTTTCCTTTCTTTGTTCATCTCTCCCTGCCCCCAGCCCAGTCCCTTACCTGTTCTCTCCTCCTGCACCTCCGATTACTAAACAACACCCACTGCCCTCTTTATTTCTAGTCCCTCACACCCAAGTCTCTTTCTCCCAGTAATTGTTTGCATTGTGCCTTTCTCTCCCAGTGACACTGGCTATGGCTTGCAGGCCTGCGTTGGCTTTGTTTCAGTATGCCCATGAGAGGATTTCTACCCCTCTTAGTCTCCAGGGGACATGAAATGTCCCAGGAAGGAACCTCAGTGACGCTTGAAATTCTTCAAGAGCATAAGAGGAAGCCTCAGGATTCTTCCCCGCAGGTGGGGCCTACCTGAATGTTTATGTCCTCTTAGCCACCCTCAAAACACCCCAGGCTGCAGCCAGACTCAGCCAGTAAGATGGTGCCAGCCAGAGTATGCTGTGTCCCCAAGCCTCTCACTATCACTTTCTGCTTTCTGTTGCTGAAAGGTAGAGGTATAAACAGCTGTTGAAAATGAGCTGTGTACCTGGCAGGTGGCAGCAAAGGGTCCGAAATGGCAGATGAGTCCTGGAGGTCTCAGGACTGATAACTGCAAGGGTGGCGATTGCTGAATGTCTTGGTCTTGGACAGCTCATGCGTGATGGAATTATTCACCCGTCTTCCACCTTAAGACAGATGCTATGTGCTTTGCCCTTTGCTATGAAAACCAAGATGGATAGAACAAAACGAGGAAGTCGTCACATCCTGTCTCTGCAAGGAAAATCATGAATTCCCAGGGAAAATGTCCCTTCGGGGTCTCAGAAGGAGGGGAAAGGTATCTGAGAGCTTTGTGGAGCTTGCAAGTGACAGCGACTCAGAGCAGGGAGAAAAGGCACCAGCTGCCCAGCTGTCTGGCAGGCAGAGCTGGGCTTCTGCACGGGCAGGGCAACTCTCCCCGGCTAACCCTTCTCCTCTAAAAGGAGATAGATATTGGACTCCAGTCTTCACCAACTAACCTGCCACTACCCTTCTTGGGGAGGGTCGGTCAGTAAGGAAGAGAGCCTGGGAGCTTTGTCATTACTAAAATCTACAAGACTTGTTCGCATACAGTTTGGAAATAGAATAGGAGCTGTGTTAGAATTTCTCTGGTGGAGCAGAGTTCACAGAAGCAGCAGCCCGCATGGCCCCACCCACTGTATTTGCCGTAGGCCATGGTACAATCGAGCACCATGGATTGAGGGCAGAGCTCAGTCCCTTGCTGCAGCCCACTCTGTCATCCTCCACAAGGGACGGGTCAGAGTTGAGCACAGCATATCTCAGGCACATGTGGGATACCTCAGGGACCCCCAGAAGTGCTCTGTGTTTGGAGAGGGACCTGTGCAGGTGCTAGGGTTCTACATGGGCAGGTGGAGGCAGAAGCCAGCGAGTTCCAAGGAGCCTGTCTGTGCTCAGACAGACTGGCAAACACCTGGGCTTGTTTCTGTGAAAAGATGTCTCTAGGAGAGCAAAAGGGGCTGAATGGTGAGCTCAGACTGGGTGCGGTTCCCTGGGGCCAGGGAGACAGAGGCAGACCCAGGGACAGGTTAAGCCAAGTGGACACTGACTAAAGA